TCTGGAGCCAAGCGCTTTATTTTTTACGGCTGTCCATTAGAGGATCCCCTTCGCCGCTCCGTGCCACTGATCAGCAGTTTTTCCTCTGGGCCTCAGCGGTTTCTGAGATCCGCGGCCCGTCTCTGCTGCCCTGGGCAGCGCGGGGAGGTCAGGCTGGCTCAGGGAAGGCCTCAGGGAAGCTGCTCTGTTTCCCGGCCTCTCCCTCTCGCCTCCTGCAGAGCCAGGGGATTCTCCTGCGGTGGCTCGGGAAGTGGCAGAGGATGCCTTAAGCCGCAGGGAGGGAGTCGCTCGGGAACGTTACTCCAGTCCGCTTCACAGCAAGTCGTTGTTTGCGCCGATAGTGCCTCTCAACACAGAACACCACCTGGAAGAGATTTATAAACTGAGATTGAAATATAGGGCTGCCAGCCAGGTTCCAGGTGTAGGTTAGACCCGCCCAAGTGAAAGCAGAGTGAATAGCTTTTGGGACAGGAGTCTGACACAGCAGACAGGTGTGACAGTACCGAAATACAGGTATGATGCCAGAGGTTCTCTTAAGAAACAGGCAGTTCACCTACGGATTTATTACCTATATAAAGAAAAATTTAAAATTAGGCTGTTGTTTTCTTTTTTTTTTCTTGCTTCAGAAAGAAAAGATATCCCAACCATATAGGCCAAAGAACTCCATGGAAGCCCAAAGGTAAGATCTGACCTATTTCCTGGAAAGCCTGTCCGTTTTATCTCAGCCACACAGTGGTCTCCTCACCCTGCCTCTGTCTCTCCTGAGTGAGTGATGAACACCTGTCAGAGGCAGCAGTCGGGGAACTCCAGTTATCTGTATGTTAAAAGAACATTTTTCTCACCTTGTCCTGTGAGGTTGGTGCTGGAGTGTAAGATATGAGGACTGCATTCCTGCATCTTGGTTAGTAATGAAGCAACACAGAGACACATCTCCCTTTATACTTGTTCATTAATTCAGGACAAGAGCACAGATCTGGAAAGCATGGTGTACCTGGGCACTAATTTATAGAGTAACAACTTCTGTTGTTTCAGATCAGAACAGGGTTTGCCCAGTACCAGTCACCATGGCCCCAGAATCTTCTAGTATGATTTAGACATCCTCTTAGTTTCTTAATTAAACACTTAATTGCTTAAAGCATTAGCTGAATTAGGCCTTTGTTAATGTTCTTCGGGTCCTGAAAAAAGCAGACTCAGTGAATTACTGTCACAATCGTACAAGTCGTTCTAAATTTCAATCTTCCTGATTCTGGGAAATAACCGAACCGCATGCTTAGGATGACAAATCGTTGAGCAGCTAAGAGGTCTGGTGGGGTGCCGAGGTGCTGTGTGGGGATCTGCATGAGTGAGGAAGGAGTGTCGGGATTAGCAACGCACTGGATGGTTCTGTGTTTGAGAAATGCAGAACAGTGGCTATGGTTTTTGAAAGGGATGAGGGGGCAACCTCCACCCTTTTACTGGCACTATGACTTTTATTTTCTTCTCGTGCAAGAAGGAAGCTGAAGCATCACCACAAGGCACTTTGATGGCTGTGTAGAAAACACATGAATCAGCCATGAAGCTCAGGAGGGTCTCGCTGGAAACCCAGCAGAGCCCGAGAAAGTGGCTTAGACTGGAAATTACTGCCCAGTCCGGGCACTTTGGTCCTGCAGTGAAATAGTCAGCACGAATCACAGGAAGTCAGGGGCAGCTGAAGGGAGCTTCCTGTGCAGCTCCTGACACAGGCTCATACAACAATCCCACTGTTTCCTGTGAATCTGCTGCTCCGGGACAGTGGAAAACATCTGCCTGCCTGCAGTGGCATGCGCGAAACTTAAGGGTGTGACCAGAACATGTGCTGCGGTTATAGCGTGGCACACTCTCCAGGGCTGCTGCCAGCCCATGATGGGGCTGCCAGCTGGTCCAGGTGCATTAGAAACTGACTCGTTCGCAGCGCCGGCAGTCCAGAGCAATCGAGCCCTCCGCGCAGAAAGCCTAGATCTCCAACACTGCACCTGGAACACAGGGGGTTAAAAAGTCGGCTCCCCCACATTGTGGCAGTGTCTTAAATACGGCAGTAAAAATGATCAGGCCAAACTCTGCAGGGTTATTGCAGTGTGTGTGTGTGCTGGAGGAGAGGGGGAAGAGGGGGACATCGATCTGAAACAGTTTGGGCTGGGATTCCTGGCGTCGCTCATAGCCCACTGCCAATTCAGTTTGCCTTTCCTAAAAAGGAAAAATGTACCTGTCGTTTTTAAGAGCCCGTCAGAAGAAGCGAGGTCAGGGGGGGTAAGAGACTGTTCACGTCAGGAACCAGACAGGCACTCTGTAAGAGGGAAAGCACTCAGAGCTGGGCCGGCCGTCTCCCTGCTACATTCCTCTTACCCAGCATCACTGCTCGGCTAATGAGATTTGGATAGATCGGGCTGCCAAGCAGTTAGAGAGGCAGGGGCTTGATGCAGTCAGTCAGAGGCTTTCGTTGGGGTTGGGGAAGACTGTAATAAAACAAGCCCGTCCCTGCAGCAGCTCTCAGGGAGACCGCAATGAACTGACTATTGAGTTAGCTTTAAACGGGCTGACTGAGGCCTATTGATTTCCAGACTCGTGTATTAAACAGCAGCTGTGTCAATTAGACGCTCCGCTCTGCTCATTTCATTGCATTCCAGGGACTCTCTCTTGTCGGTTATTCAGCGCAGAACTGCTGCACAGAGTTGTGTGCGTGTTGGGGCAGGGGGGGGGCAGTCTGCAAATACACAAGTCACAGCTATGACAGGCTATTAATTTGTGTCTGCCAATGATGAGGATAAATTGTTCCACGTTAAAATAAACTGTTGTGGCTTCTGAGCGCAGCGCAGATGCAAAACTGATGCGGCATCTTTTTAGGGAATGAAGGAGCCACCCAGTCTGTTTCCCAGAGGCTCGCACTGTGGCCACCAGCATGTGTGTGTTTGAGCCACCTCCAGGAACTCAGCCCGACCCTGTGCTGTGGGGGGGCTCCACAAAAGCCAGCTGCCACCGCTGACTCTCGTGGGCACGCGAGAATCGGCAAGCCAGAGAGACTCAGCCCTTAATATAATAATGGCATCTTTCTCCTCCGTGCTGCATTCCTGTGGGGCGGCCAATCCCCAGGACGCAGCACGTGGTTCCTAGAGGACTGTGACAGGTGGACAGGCGTGATCGCAGCTCCCAGCAGGGGAGGGCACCACTGCCTGTGGTCCTCATCGCCTCATTAACCTCCTCCCCGTCCCGGGCCGCTGCTGACTCCCTGATGCGTTCTGCCTGCAGCCCTCTCCGCCCCGGGGACCAGCTGGAGGAGGCCCTGGCCCAGGTTCGAGCGCTGCACTGACTCCCTGGGGATCGGCCGAGCCTTTGCCCTCACCCCGCTGCCCGACCTCGCAATGCCAGGTTCGACCCCCCCTCCCCGCTCACCATTACACGCGCAAGCCCGTTCCTCTCTCCGTTTCGCTACACGTGCGAAAGGGTTCGCCTTGAAACGGGCACCTGTAACTTCATGGGATTAAACGCCCACCGTAGCCAGCTCTCGGCTGATGCCCCTCGTCCACTCTCGTCCACTCTCGTCCACTCTCTCCTCAGTTTGTCCTGCCCCTGTCAGGGAGAGGATAGGGTGCCAAAAACAAGTAAAAGCATTTGTAAGGAGTCCCTCTGCCCCTGTCTGTCCACCAAAACTGTTTAGTGAATATAATTAAAAGTATCCCCTCATAATCTTATTCACTCATCAGTTAAGTGCTGTTTTATATGATTTTATTTTCCTGTTTGTGTTTTATGTGACTTTGCGTGGCTTTTATGTTTTACTTGGTGTGTGTCTAATGTTGGGTGTCCTGTACTTCTTCTGGGAGAAGACAAAGACAGCTGTAGACAACAAAGTATCTGTCAATAGATATTTTTGAACAACACTCAGAGAGAGACTTATTTTCTGAACTGTCCTATGGTTTTTGTCAAGACGCCCTTGTCCCCTGTTTAACGAGTCACTGCTTTACCCGGGGGAAGTAAAGGGTCGCCGGAATCCCCGCGGTCGCCTGTAGCTACCCCATCACGAAGGACGTCATGCGACAAAGAGCTTCGCATGAATGTTCATATAATAATAATATTGTGGCCAGCGAGTGTGTAAAGGCTATAGTTGCTGCCATGTCTGAAGTTCTTGCGGGAAACAGCAGCGGCACAGTCCTCACGCAGTACCGGGGCTGGAGGGAGAGCAGCCCGGAGATGGGAGCGTCAGCCGGACTCGGGGCCAGTTCGCCCGCCACATCTGAAGCGCCGCTGGAGAGCGCCCAGTCCAAACACGGCGCGCCGAACCAGCGGCCAGCGGCCAGCCCGCGGCCCCAGCGGCTGTGGAAGAAGACGAGCAGACGCTGCTGCCGGACAGTCCTGCCCCTGCCGCCCTGTTGCGCCACATTAACATTAACAGCCCGGTTCTGCTACCAGTCATCTGGGAGCTCGACCAGCGAGACGAAGACCGGAGACACGATGTACTTTGGTGTCAGAAGCACTTCTGTTCTGTGTTAAAGTGTCCCTGTATCATGTTTAACTTATTTGTGTTTTCACATTTCCAATCCCCCGCTCTTTTTCATCCTTAAGTGTTGATTTTGACAAACTACTTATAAGCTAGTTTACTTAGAGTAAACAACCACATTTTGAACATATTACCATTACAATTTTTAACATTCCATTGATGTCATGGCTTGTCTTTTCTTAAGATGAATTTGTACCCCCAAATCGAGTTTTTTTTTGTTTGTTTGCAGCAGTTATAAATTAACTGGCGGCAGCTACTGACTGCGTCAAACACGGGAGCCATACGTCTCCCACAGTAGGCAGGGCATTCACGGTTATTAATATTAACTGCTTTTTTCCCCTAAAATAAAAAATGACCTTGCACTATTTTCACGAAAGTTTTGCTTGTGTCAAGTTTACAAAGACAGCAGCGAGCCGCGCCTACTGCCAGTTACAGCGACAGGGGAAAAAAAACTAGTAAGAGAGCAAGTTAATTCAATATCTCAGACAAGAAAGAAGACATTGTGTCGGGGCACACAAAAAATCCACTTGCAAAACGGAGTTAATCACAGTTCGGCTTCTCTGCAGATTAATCTTCTGCGTGTCTGTATTTTGCTCCGCCTGGGCTGGCAAGTGGGGTTAAAATGATCGCCGATATCGATCAGCCAAGAAGAGGGGCTCAGGCGTGATTGACGCGAGGCTCTCGCTCGTGGGTGACGTTGTGCCTCGTCCCGCCGAGCGGCGCCGTGTCACTTCCACAGACGCGCGCAGCACCAGCGGGACATCCGCAGGACCAGCTGCCCAGCTCCGAGCGGACCGGGTCGGCACGAGAAACTAGAAACCAGCGTGCGGGGGCATCAGTCGCGGACATTTAAACGGTCTCTGCGCCTCTGTTCGGTATTTCCTCCGCTGTCGAAAGTTGCTTCCGAAGCTGAAATTATGTCGAAATGGATTTTATGAGGCTGTTCGGGACAGTTCTCGCTCTCTGGATCTGCCCGGGCTCCGCATCCAAACTCTTCAGTGGTAAGTATGAGGAATGCAAAATAAAAAAAAAAGTGTTTTATTGTGTCTGTTGCTGCGGGCTTTGGTAAAACTTCCCTCTGTGGTGAGGAACTGAACCGTCAGCCCGAGGGAACTGCTAAGCAAGAAACGTATTTTTCCCAAATAAGAAATTACTAAGGGGACCACGATTGCAACACCGCAGTGGTTGTTGTTCATGAAAACTTAAATGTTTGCGTTTTTAAAAAAGATCAAATCTGTGGCATATTACACGGTTTTGTATGAGGGTAGCAAACCCACAAACAAGTTCCTTTCTGTCATTTTGGATGTTTTTTCAGACAGCCACCTCGCCAAGCGAACCCAACACCCGTACTGTCAGGGTTTATTTTTTACGCAGCACTGTTCAATTCGGTATATTTGCCAGTTCCTTGAAATGGAAAATTCCAATGCAAAGTGTTTTCCCCCCCTTCCACATTTGCTTATGTAATTTCGGAAGGAAAAGAAGCCAGAGGAAACGCGTTTTTTTATCTGTCGCTGTGTCCGCCTTGTTCACGCCTGTGTGTCCCTCTTATCTCCCTTCGCTTTCGGTGCAGCGGATGGCTACGAGCCCCGGGGTAAGTACGGATTCACCGAAACACGGGTTGGCGAAGCCTGCCGCCAGGTGTTGAGCATAAGAGCAGCTGGCGCTCAGCAGAGCGGGCCTCTGGACACAGGAGTCCAGGCGAGCTCACGGGAACTGTGCGCACCTTCAGTTACCGGGCGCGGGGAGTGACAGTCTCGGCAGCTGACTGCATGTGTGGGGCCGCGGGTGGGAGTGGGAGGTGGTGGGTTTAGGTCCCAGGTGAGACACTTCGCCCGAAGTACTGCCACGGAATATGCCCGGCTGCATGCGGCAAACGGGCACACATGTAAATCGCTGTGGATAAGAGCCGAATAAACGAGTAGATACAGGAAGCGCCGGGCAGTACTACCCCAGTTCACAGAGCAAGCCCGCAGTCCTCTCCGGGCTGCAGCTGTCGAGATGGGGTGCTTACTCACCGGCCGCACTTGCTCATCCGGTGTTACATCATTAGACAGCAGCTATGTCACCCCACAGCTCCCAGCTGGCAGCCCCACTGGAGCTCAGCAGTGTGAGCCTGGCCAGTACCTGGAGGGGAGACTCCTGGGAGAGCTGAGGCTGCAGCTGGAAGAGGTGTTAGTGGGGCCAGTAGGGGGCGCTCACCCTGCGGTCTGTGTGGGTCCTAATGCCCTAGTGATGGAGACACTACACTGTAAAAAGACGCCGTCCTTCAGATGAGACATAAACCCGAGGTCCTGACTCTCTGTGGTCATTAGAAATGGACTGTTACTTGTAAAGAGCTTTGAATGGAGTGTCCAGAAAAGAGCTCTAGAAGTCTAAGGAATTATTATTACTATTAATAGGGTGACATTTTCTGAATTTGTTTTATGCCCTTATCAATCGGTGCTGTGATTTGGGTCCTAAGAGCGGACTGATGCCCACTTGAATAGCGAGTGAGTCACACTGGGCCTGTGCTGGGTGTGAGAGCCCAGGCCGGGCTACAGCAGGTCAAGGAGAGCGCCCCTGGGTGGGACCCGTCTCTCTGTGGTCAGCGCTGTCGAACCCCTGCTGCCTCCGCGCCTGGAGGAGGGGGGGTTTCTGCGATGTCTGCGGCTCAGCCTCTCGTCTCTCCCCCCCGCCACCCCCAGGCCAGAGGATCTGCCGCAGGGGCACGGAGCGCCCCTGTTACAAGATCGCCTACTTCCAGGACAGCTGGCGCAAGGCGAGCTTCGAGGAGGCCCGGCGGGCCTGCCACAGCGACGGCGGCGAGCTGCTGAGCGTGGAGTCGGAGAACGAGCAGCAGCTGGTGGAGAGGTTCGTGCGGGAGCTGCGCGCCTCCGACGGGGACTTCTGGATCGGGCTGCGCCGGAGCCCGGGCCACCGGGACACCAGCGGCGACTGCCCCACGCAGTACCACTGGGTTGACGGCAGCCAGGCCACTTTCAGGTCAGAGTGTGTGGGTGGGATGGGGGGGTTTGGGGTGCAGTTGTTGGGGACCTGAGAGCAGCCCCCCGTTTTTGATCACCCCCAAGCCGAAGGAATGACGAACACAACTGGGCAAACCCAAAGGGGTGGATACGAGGTGGAAGTGCATTTAAAACCACAATCAGGAGAGACGTCTTTACACAAAGGGTGGGGGGAGTGTGGAACAAGCTGCCCGGCTACGTTGTTGAAGCCGTTGCCCTGGCTTCTTGAAAGAAACGAGATGCTTGGATCAATTTACTGCTGATTACAAATCGGGCCCAGCCCCCTCCTCTCGTTTGTAGCCCCTCCTCGCGGGGGCCTGATCCGCCCAGCAGAGGCGAACTCTCCGACCGACGCTGCGCCCCCTCTGTGTTCCAGGAACTGGCACTGGGACGAGCCCTCCTGCGGGTACGAGGTGTGCGTGGTGATGTACCACCAGCCCTCCGCCCCGCCCGGCCCCGGGGGGCTCTACATGTTCCAGTGGAACGATGACAACTGCGACACCAAGAACAACTTCATCTGCAAGTACACGCAGGGTGAGTGCCTGGCCGCCGCGGCCGCCGCGGCCCCCTCTCTCGCCCACGGCGCGCAGGGCTGTCGGAGGCGCGGGCTCGGTCAGCCCTGCGATGGGGAGATCGATCTGCGCAGGAGGCTGAGCCTCTCGGCGACCTTGTGTTTCGAGACGCTACCGCTGCAGGACAGACCTCTGATTGCTGGCAGCCGTTCCCTAAAGGAGAGTTTCCCGCAGGAAGAAGCTTAGTCCAGGGAGGAAACTCCCTGCCCCACCTATCTGTTGAACAGCTAGATTACTGCACTCGCTTGCAGGCTGACGAGCTGTCTTCTTTATTCCAGGCTGAAAAGGGAAGAAAACAAACACAACACTTTGGCTGTGGAGCCTTGTCTTCCAGAACCGAAACGGGGGTTTCTTTTCTTACAGCTGACCTCGGGTCTTGACCGGAAGAAGGCTCCACAGCCGAAAAGTTGTGTTTCTTTTCTTCTCTTTTCAGCCTGCAATAAGCCTGTACTCGTTCCTTTGCAGCCCACGCATGCTGACGCAGCTCCCTACTCGAACTGCTACCGTATATGGTGCTCTTTGCAGTGTTCGTCATCGAGCCCCCCTTGTTCTTTTTGCTTTTGTTTAATAATTTGGGGTCACTGAGGCAAGACAGTCTTGATCTCGTTTTGAAAATTAAGTGGCAAGTGGCGAGGAAAACTCTTCACTCAGGTTAGGTGTGGTCAAGCAGAGTCCTGTATTCGTGCGCATGGGGAGGATACAGTCATGCAGACCTGAGAGCAGCCTGCCATACAGATCTGTGAGTAACCTCTCCACCGAGATGGTAAATGCAATGGGTTTTATCCAGCCAATTCACACAGGAAAGCTCATTCCAAATGCCCAAATTAGGAGTTGTTTTTCTCTCTACAAACATTTCTTTGTAATTGACCACGTTATGCTTCAGAAGCAATTCTACCTTGTAGGCAGACAAAATGAAGTATATAAATACAAGGTGTGAAATTTAGCTAGACATTCTGCAGTTTCTAGCTTTAGCATCAACACATCAAATAATATGCTTGCAATAGTTCTTTCATACTGTTGCTAGTTAAAAGGGATTTTTCAAAGCCAACTTGTCACTATCTTATACACTTACAAAAAGGTAAATGTTAAAATTCTTCCTCACAAGCAATGAAGGGACATGACATTTGTCTGTGACCTGACATTTGAGCTGCGAGGAGACCTTGTGTTTTTTCGTCTTACTAACCAACCTCTCAAGGGTCCTAATGCGGGAGGTTTTCCCGATTGCATACTGTTTGTGTTGATGCTGTCTTTTCTTCATGTACAGGAGCCACACTGGTTCATTAACAGAATCGCACGTCTTTACAACAATCTTAACATTGTACCTCCATTTCTTCACTTTTTTAACCAACCTAGACTTGACACAAATCACGGCTGGTGGCTGATGGGCGATCATGAGCTTTATCACTATGAAACTTATTTGGTTAAATCCAGAATGTAATTCTTGTGTGCATTTTGTCCGCGTTCATGCGTTTGTTTGGCCATGTGGCCAGGATTTTGGGCCAGGAGATTCGCCTATCCTGGCCAACGGTGGGAAACCCTGTAAGGCTCTGCTTTCTGAAGCTGTGTGTCAGTAACTCTTCACCTCACTGGGGAAGGGTCATGGGCAGAACTGAGGCTGGGCTGGTCAGTGTGTGCTCCTTAGGCTTGCATGTCTGCTTCGTACCCATTGCATTCGCTCACACTGGGCGGGGATCTGAGGTATAATCTCTACCTGTGTTTCTGATCTTTGCAGAGAAGGGGCCTGTCTCTACACCCACTGCGAATTCCACTCATACTGGTAGGTGCACTGACCCTGCACTGGGGGAGACACCAGGGGGATGGTGGGATAGCACTGGCCGCAGGGGTTGGCAGCTTGTGTAAAGACCTGTCCGTCCGTCCCCCCTGAGCTCGGAGGACCATGGCCCCCGTGCTTGTGGCCGGGAGAGAGGTGGGCAGTGTGAACCCAGGGCTGCAGCACATTTCCCCCCGTTCACTTAATACTCGGCCACACCCAGACCATCCACCTTCCGCCCTCACCCACTCCCTCACACAGGGCTTTCCCACATCCAGGGCTCCACCTGCCTCCGCGAGACAGCTCCGCGGGCTTGAGAGCCGGAGACAGAAACCTCTGCGCCAGTGGGAGAGCCAGAGACGCAGGGAGCCTGGGGCTGTGCTTCCCGGAGCCGGGCTTCACGTTGAAGTCAAGTGGCTGTGCTCCGAGGATCTGGCCTGGATGCAAAGCAGCATTCCAGCGCTCTTTAATGTCACTGGGGACATCTAGTGGGGGGCTGAGGAAATCGCAGTTTCATTCAGCTCCAGGTCAGCCGGAGTCGAGCGGGGGTAGACATGGGCCAAGAGCGTTTTGTTTCCGTGTTTGTGTGAGTCCACTTTCTCATTTTGAATTCGATCTGATCATGTCCAACCCAGTTTAAATTTGGTGATTGTGTTTATTAATATTAATATATATATATTTATAAATTTGTATTCAGAATGAAATTCATGTTAATAACATAAGATATGAAAATATTATTATAGCCAGCAGCCATGTCACCCACAGCTCCCAGCTGGCAGCCCCACTGGAGCCCAGCAGTGAGAGCCTGGCCAGTACCTGGATGGGAGACTCCTGGGAGAGCTGAGGCTGCTGCTGGAAGAGCTGTTAGTGGGACCAGTAGGGGGCGCTCACCCTGCAGTCTGTGTGGGTCCTAATGCCCCAGTACAGTGATGGGGACATTATACTGTAAAAATGTGCTGTCCTTCAGATGAGACATAAAACTGAGGTCCTGACTCTCTGTGGTCATTAAAAATCCCAGGATGTTTCTCGGAAAGAGTGGGGGTGTTACCCCGGTGTCCTGGCCAAATTTCCCCCCTGGCCTTTCCCAGTCATGGCCTCCTAATAACCCCCCTCTCTGAACTGGCCTCATCACTCTGCTCTCCTCCCCACTGAGAGCTGGTGTGTGGGGAGCGGACTGGAGCATCATCCAGGTGGGGCTGTACACTGGTGGGGGTGGAGGGGATCCCCGTGACCTGTAAAGCGCTCTGAGTGGAGTCTCCAGAAAAGCGCTATATAAGTGTGAGGAGTTATTATTATATTCTGGGGAAGTTGGTTCAGTCCACTGTGAACTGTGGGGGAGATGGGAATGGGACGGGAAGGGGATAGGAGTGTTCACTACAGGAACAGAAGGGTCTGTTATCAAACTCCTTTTATTTCCTACTGCTAACAAACGGCTATCTGGAGAGAAAGGAGGCCACCCACTGGCTGCCGTGTGTTTCCAAACCCTTACCTTCTTGTTCTTCTGAAACACTCGTCTTGCAGAAGCTGCAGCTACGTCTCCAAGGCCAAAGTACCCTCCGGTCACGGACAGGGAGGAGAAGGTCGACGTGCTGATGACCAAGTCAAAAGGTAAGGGGGCGTCCCGTTGCAAGGAAGGGGTGCTTTTGAAAAACAGTTGGTGCCAAGTGAGCTTTACGGATACCGCCCACATCCACCGACCTGGCCTGGACAGAAAAATGGTAATTTCCCCCCTGGTGTCCCCGGGTCCTTGTTGATCCTGAAGCTGTAGATTGACTTGGTTCATGCCTTTTATATTCCTGAGTCCCGGCATCCAGCCCCTTCTGTTTTCCTTCTGTAAAAGACCGGAAAGATTAAGCTCCTTCCGATGCTTCCCTCGCAGACAACATCCTCAACATCGTGTACATCGTCATCCCCACCATCCCCCTCCTGCTGCTCCTGCTGGTGGCCACCGGCGTCTTCTGCTTCCGGCTCTTCGCCAGCAGGTAAGAGGCCCTCCGCCCTCCTTGCGCCAGTCCCGCCCTCCGCCCTTGAGGTCCACGCAGCTCGGCGACCCGCGCGACCCCGCCCGCTGACCCCGGTGCCTGTCTGCTTGCCGCGCAGGAGGAAGGAGCGCACGGAGGCGTGTCACAAGGAGCCCACCCTGTGGATGTCGCCGGACCGCGCCAGCAGCCCCAGCCTGGACGTGTACCACGTCATCCGCAAGCAGCACGAGGCCGACCTGGCGGGCACGCGGCCGGACATCAAGATCACCTCGTTCAGGGGCTCCTCCCCGGACGACCAGCTCTCCAGCGACTACGACAACATGGCCGGCAACACCTCGGAGAGCGGCTTCGCCACGCTGGCCAGCACCGAGAGCGGCTTCGTCACCAACGACATCTACGAGACGTGCCAGGGCCGCGGGCGGCCGAACCGGGAGTCCGGCTGGGTGGAGAACGAGATCTACGGCTACTAGGCCCCG